AGTGGATCGCAGTAAATTTGCATAGTAAACGAACTTTCCTAGTTTATTTAATTCTTTAGAATATAACAATAGGATTAATTTATAGACAGAGGGTTTCCTACGATAGTATGTCTTGATATATTTACATCTTAACTCTGAGAAGAAGTGACATTTCAGAATAAAATGAAATTCATCCTCTACGTCGGACTTACACAATGGGCAGAATATTAAGTTACGGGGGATTTTTCGGTGTCTTCCAGCTTCTATTAAGGTTGTGTGAAGACAGACGAAATTTTACAATTTCCTTTTTATATTTAAGCGGAAAGCATTTACTTAAATGAGGTTGTAAGCAGACATGATCAACAATATGTTTATAAAACAGACACTTCGGTGTAGTGTCGAAAAAAGCTTCACAATCCTGTTTATAGATACCAGTGAGCCTCTGCCTTGCTAAAACAAGAAACTGTTGGGTGTTTAATAATTAGACATACCGAGAGAACCAAGTTCGTGTTTAATAGACATAACCCAGTTTCTACAATGTGGGTTTGCGTCACACTCCCGATACATATCTTGATAACATGCTTTTAAAATACAGTTGTTTGTACTTAATAGCTTACACCAATATTTCAAAATTCGAACTTTTCTAGAAATTAAAAGAGGAAATCTACCAAGTTCGAAATATATCATTGCGTTTGGAGTGGCTCTACTCACTCCTAAAATATTTTTACAAAAATCAAGATGGAGTTGTTCAATATCCGGTGCTTTGTGAAAGCCCCACACCTCATAGGCGTAGTTAGCTACACTGCCAACGTACGTATCAAAAAGTGACAACAAGGTAAAAAAATTCAACAACATAGGCTTACAGGCTCGCTTAAGCGAAAAAAGCGCCTTTCTACCCTGTGAGGCCAACTGTTTCTGTGTTAAGTTAAAATTTCCATTATAATTAAGTTTCACTCCCAAGTAAGAAAAGGAGTTCACAGACTCAAGTGTTACCCCATTATACTGCCATTGTTCATTTTCCAGTAGTACTGCTGACTTTCTAAAAACCACAATTTTTGTTTTTTCAACGTTAACCGACATAGACCACTTACTAGTATATGAAAATAAATTGTCCAGCATATGCTGTAGACCTTCAACACTTTCCGAGAACAGCACCATATCGTCAGCGTACATGAGTAAAATAACGCCAACTCTTGCAATTCAAAAGGCTTAACGCCGTTATTAAGGAAATCCATTTCACAGTCATTTACAAACATACTAAAAAGAATCGGGGAAATAATTTCCCCTTGTAAAACTCCGGTTTGGTTTTCAAAAAAACTCGACAGATTCCTGTCTACCATTCCTGTCTACCACTTGATTTAATATTAGTGTACAACGATTTAATCACATCTAGAAGTTTACCTCTGACCCCAAGCTTAGAAATCTTATACCATAGCTTGCACCTATCAACCGAGTCGAAGGCCTTCTTAAGGTCAACAAAACAACAATATAGCCTTTTCTTATTGGATAAGGATTTGTTAATTAATGAATATAGTGCAAATATGGCATCTACTGTGCCCAACCCAGGGCGAAAACCAAACTGGACATCAGTAATTATACTGTAATCGCCCGCCCATTTCACTAGCCTGGCGTTCAAAACTCCCGTAAAAAGTTTTAACATGTTACTAAGCAAACTGATTCCACGATAGTTACCAGGATTAGAAGTATCCCTACTTTTAAATATTGGAACAATCAAAGCATTAGATAACACTTTTGGGAAATAACCGACATTAAAAACAGCATTAAACATCTTTTGTAAAATGGGAACAAAAACGTACTTAAACTCTATCAAATATTCAATAAGACACAAACAGTTATATTTTCATTGTTACAATTATTTACATTAATACCTGATGATGAGACGTACCGACAACCCAGCTACATCTACATCATTATATCATCATCATCATCCAACTACATATACTTCATTATATCATCATCATCGTCGTCGTCGTCGTCGTCATCATCATCATCATCCAACTACATCTACATAATTCTATCATCATCATCATCATCATCATAATCATCACCATCTTAATATCAACATCATCATCAACATAATAATAATAATATCATCATCATCATCATCATCATCATCATCATCATCATCCAACTGCATCATCATCATCATCATCGACGTCATCATCATCATCATCATCATCGTCATCATCATCATCGTCATCATCGTCATCCAACTACATCTACATCATTCTATCATCATCATCATAATCATCACCATCTTAATATCAACAACATCATCATCAACATAATAATAATAATAATGTCATCATCATCATCATCATCATCAACAACAACAACAAAAACACAAGGAAAAAGAAATGTCAGTTTATTGTAATTAATAATCAGATACTTCTACGTTTGTTCGCTTCAATAATTTATTTGCCCAGTAAATTCAAATCTTCCAAATTATGTGTGTTCAATAATTCTATAACTTTGAAAACAGATGGCTGATACCAGTAATAATTTTAATGTATTTTCTCCTAAGATCAGAATGTATAGGACAGGTAAAAAGAAATTGGAATTCATCTTCTACTTCTAATAGGTCACAATTATTACAAAGTCTATTAGTCCTATCAGTATTTCTATATCTACCAGTTTCTATAGCTAGTATATGAGTTGATAAACTAAGTTTAGAGATAATAATTCTGTGCTGTTTTGGTAAATATTTGGTTAAATAAAACTGAAGTGAAAATCATCTACCATGAACCGGTAGAGATCACATTTACTAGACAAAATAGATTTTGTTTAGCCTGATCGTCTATGCGTTGCTTAATTGATGATAATAGGATGTTATCGGAAGGAGTTTGCCTGATCCAGATGTAGCCTAAACCAAGTTCGAATAATTTCTGCTTTACAAATAACAACCAAGTTTGCTTTGGGTTATCTGTTTCCGTTTCTTTCAGCATAAACTGATAAACTTCATTCACAATACAATTATCACAATTCAACAGCTTAAACCAACATTTAGATATTCTTAATAAATGTTGGTTAACAAGAGGTAATCGACCCGGCTCAAAATAAACAATTGCATTACATGTTGATTTTTAACGCTCTGTCCGTCTCCACGTCCGGCTCCAAACTCTCTCTATAGTTCGTTCCCGAATAGTATTCTTATAACTATTAATTGTTACAGATACAAAATCATTAAGCATTGTCCTAGATGATCGATGTTTTTTTTATATTACAGTAATTGTTATCTTCCCTCTGTTTTATTTGTATATTATATGATAGGGGCGCGAGCGGGTTCTGGCTCATACATATCAATAATAACGTGACTCTCGACCAGGGTTATTAAAAATCTGCATCATATACTTATATTTATCATAAATCAGTTCCTTTTATTAACACCACATGTATAGCCACAGGTGTCATTGATGGTCAGCCAGGTGTTAATTTACTAGTGTATAATACACAGAGTCATGGGCCAGGTGTTAATTTACTAGTGTATAATACACAGTGTCATGGGCCAGGTGTTAATTTACTAGTGTATAATACAGTGTCATGGGCCAGGTGTTAATTTACTAGTGTATAATACACAGTGTCATGGGCCAGGTGTTAATTTACTAGTGTATAATACAGTGTCATGGGCCAGGTGTTACTTGACTAGTGTATAATACACAGTGTCATGGGCCAGGTGTTAATTTACTAGTGTATAATACACAGAGTCATGGGCCACTTTCCAGCCCAATGTTAGTTTAACTGATCAGTCTCAGGTATATTTACCTGGCAGGGGTTACCTCTGCATATATTATGTTACTAACCAAGTACCCCTGAGATAACATTTGAACTCTCCCAATCATCAATGGTGGGGATAGCTCATTAAGAAACTTCAGGTGTGTGTGAAATTCAATATGTCTGTTCTAAAATATCAAAGGTACATAACAGGTACAGATGATTTTTACCTGAGAGAAAGAATTATGGGATATGTTCCCTGGTATGCAAGAATTTTTCATTACAGGATATAAATTTAAAAAAAAATGAAAATTAGAAAAGAATATTTACTATGTATGATTTATATATGATCCTCAATTACATTTGTTTAACTTACATTTTATTCATTTAGCATTCCTTGCATACATAAGTTACACAACCCAAGACCATCCATGTACTAATAAAAAGGTCCAGAAGTAGATATTATTAATCAATTTTGCTAATTAAAACTTATAGAAATTAAATAGGTTAATTGAAGAAGTAAGAACACTTATGAGGAATAATTGTTCAGTATATACCATTTCCGTAGTATAAATTTCAATCTGAAGTTATATTGAATTAAATTATTTTCATTGTAGAAGTTAGATAAAAATCAAGAACAAGTGTCTGAGATCTTGAAAGATGACTTCACCTTTTCAAGATGTGTTCATGTTGAATCTGATGAGGGATCTTCTACCAGCCAAAATGAAGATAATGGTGTTTCCACATTCTTCACCGAGTCAGCTTCAATATTAGAAAGTTCTTTGCATCTACATGATTACTACAGTGATTTACCATCATTATCTGTTATACGCCACCAAGCTACTCAGTCTCATGTTGATGTATCAGATGCATGCACCCAAACGGATGAAGTGTCATCTCTACAAATGAACTGCACACAGATTGACTCTATTCAAACAAGTGAAATTGGCATACAGGTTCATCTCCCACAACTCACATATGAAGGTATTAAGAATGATGACCAGAAACTATGTTTCTATTGTGGAATTCCTAACAGGGTTGTATTTGATACACTATTTGAGGAAATCGCTTTGGATGCAGATGAAGGCACAGGGAGAGCTACAGGATCACTAGTTGGTAGACCAAGGTCTCTCAAGGTAATTGATGAATTTTTATTAGTGCTGATGCGTTTGAGGTTAGGCCTACTTCTGGAAGATTTAGCATATAGGTTTTGTATCTCCACTACGGCGTGTGGCAAAAATGTGAACAAATGTATTGTTTAATAAGATGTTATATTATCCTTTTTGGTGATGTGGACTACTCGAGAAGTGATTGATGCTAATATGCCAGATGTGTTCAAGGAGAAATTTCCAAATACACGCGTCATCATAGGCTGCACGGAAATTCAAACAGAAACTAACCAGCCGTCACCAGCTGTAGCTACCTTTGGATTAAGGAAGGTGGTGGAGGATGCCTCAGATGACATTAAGGAGTTTGTTCAAAGGAATTTCTATGTAGACGATGGACTGACGTGTGATGATGTGGATTCAGCCATCTCCTTGGTAAAAAGAACCCAACACACTCTCAAGGACAATGGCAATATCCGACTTCATAAAATTGCATCAAACAATCCAAAAGTTCTTGATGCATTCAGTGCAGAGGATATCGCGAAGGATATTAGTGATAAAGGCATACAAGAAGACACGACCCCTCTCCAGAGAAGTCTAGGTCGCCAATGGGATATTGCAAATGACTCATTTACTTTCCAAATAGACATTGGCTATAAACCATATACAAGACACGGAGTTTTGGCTACTACGTGATCTGCTGGGTTTTGCTGCACCAGTAACGATCTAAGGAAAAGTGTTGCTCCACAATATGATGTCCACTACCACTGACTGGGATGAGTCTTTATCGGAAGATTTTAAGTCAGAATGGAATATATGGCAGAGAAGCCTGCATGACCTGGAATCAGTGAAAATATCAAGGGCATACAACAACGTGAAGAAGGATGAGGTCGTGAAACAAGAATTACACGTCTTTTGTGATGCCTCTGTAAATGCTGTGGCTGCTGTCGCTTACCTTAAAGCCAAAGATTCTGACAACAAAATCCATGCCGGGTTTGTATTATGGAAATCAAAAGTTGCCCCTAAGCAAGGTCATATGATACCTCGCTTGGAACTGTGTGCTGCATTGCCAGCAGTAGAAGTAGCGGAAATAGTTTCTCAGGAATTGACCTTGGGCCTTTTGGCTATTACGAAAGTCGAAAATGTAAATTGTTTATGACGCACGACAGACGACGCTTGACGAAAGGTGATTGCAATAGGTCATGAAACTCTTAGATGACATAAAATTTGAACATTCTTTTGCAGAAATAGCGATGAAAATCAACTGCCAGATAGATGGTCACCTGTCAGACAATTTCTTTTTTTTCTGGGCAGTTCCAAAATCAAACGGGCATAACTAGGGACCAAGGGGATCATACATTTGAAATTTGTCACAGATTCATCAAAACTTTTTAAGAAATAGCGATAAACTTTACTAGGTAAAATTCAAGATGACCACCTGTCAGTCATTCCGTTTTTCTGATCAGTTCCAAAGACAGGGATCAAGGGAAACCTACATATGAAATTTGAGTGATCCATCAAGTTAGTCACAAGAATTAGCGATAAGGAACTTTCTTTGTCAAAACCAAAGATTATAACCACCAGTCGGCCATTTAATTTTTCTGGTCAGTCCCAAATTCAATCTTTCATTGTTTAAATCCAAGTTGATCCATTCCGTTTTTCTGAAAGTTATCCTGTACTTCTTCAGAGAGAGTGATATCAAAATTCATTGTAAAATCCAAGATGATCGCCCATCAGCCATTCTAATTTTTATCAAGACGGTATACCTAGGGGCCGTATGAAATTTTAGGGAGATCAATGCAGTACTTCTCAAGAAAAATTAATAAAATTGTTTACATATAGACCAGTCACAGGGTGATTGGAAGAGCCCAACAATGATGAGCTAAAAAATCTTGGCAGTAATCAAATAGTGGTTAACATGCTAGAAGTCAATAGTTACTGGACTAGCAAAATGTGATGCATCCCATGAAAGCTATAATGTCAAACAGTCTCTGAAGATTTGAGACACAAAAAAACAAAAAAAAACACGTGTGTTTTTCACTTTTTAATTTTTCAACATGAACAAGTTATAACAGTATATTTTTTTAAAGGAATTTTCTTCTTTTGTATAAAACATCTAATCTTTATTGACTCATTGATAAAAAAGTGTTATGTCTATATTTTGATTAATACAAGTTAATCCATAACTAAGAAATAAAAAAATACTGTAGAAAAGTGATGATTTCATGAATACTATTCATGTCTGTTCTGTACATCTGTTCAAAAATTGATATGACTGAATTTAGAGGGAGAAAACTATTTTGTGTGAATCATTATTGTATTAGTGTCATAAAAATTTGCCGCTTGTAATGACCTTATAAAAACCTGAAAAAAATTAAATAATGTTATCTAAAAAAAAAAGTAAAAGAAAAAAAAAGAAATTGAATCAAGTATGAAATGCTGACACACTGACTTCTACACTCTCACTATCACACTATATTTTTGTCCTCTTCCATTTTTAAGAAAATGCTTGATATACCATGTCCAGGTCTCTATGTGTAATTATGTCACTCAATGGTTAATCTCTAATAATTTGGGTAACTTTTCGCATGAAATGATAAATGATGATACAAGTGAAATCTGAAGGCACACTTTCTCAAGTATACACAATCAATACATACCACAAATCTTTCAAAAATAAATATTTACACTTTGTCTCTTCTATTAACAAGATGTCCAAGGGCCTTACTGGTCATCTGACTACAAAAAACTTTCAGCAGGGAGAAGGGTTATTTTTTCTACTTTGAAGGAAATCTTACTTCAGCCAAGTTTGAGCTCAATCCCACTGAAGGGACTTGAAAAGAAGAAGTTTGAAATGTCAAAAGTTTACGCATGGCGGACGGCTGATGGCACCTGGCGGAAGCAAGATAGCTATAGGTCATCAAGCCTTAATAAAACTTCAAACATGTTGTTTGCATAATTGCTAAATATCAGTTGTCATGTATTACACTTCAAAGATTAACAATTACAACCCTTGTAATATTGCACAATTTTGCTACCATTTTATTGAGAAGACTGGTATAAATCAACCCTCCTCATACCTGGGTTGGTAATAAATGCTTCATGTAAAAAAATGTATGCATATTGAATATTTTGGTTGGAAGTGAGTATCTGATTCTGGGATAAATATAATATAATGGTACAGATTTCACCTAGATGTTTTCAACTGTAGATGGCAATTTTATCTCTTAAATTGAATGCCATCTTGCAACATGAGGAATCATATCCTTGGTGAAATGTTCATACCACCTACCTAAAGGGCGGAATGTTGCATTAATGGAAACAAATTGCTTGTCACTCAACACATTCATAAACAAAATATCAACACATTGACGTTCATTCTTAACAATATGATGATTTATCTCATCTGCCATTCTTGAAATCATTAACATTGAGCATTAGTTTATGCCAAATTTAAATCCCATGATTATAACCCTGTTCCCACCTTTGTTATCATAAAAAAAAAAAAAAAAAGAGAGATCTTTTGAATTATGACAGGTTTGCGTAGTTGTTCTTCAAGAGAAGTTTACACGACCGACAAATTCACATCCTATATTAATATCAAAAACCTGTGTCCCAAGTCGTGTTTTTTGAAGTCCTTTAAACACAAGTATCATTAATATCAATTATCAAAATATTCCAGTCATGTATTTTGGTTAAAATGGAATTAACACTCTAAGATGTATCAAAGGACTACAATGGCTGATTAACTGTGTCACTTTCACTTGGACTAGTATAGGAGACTTGATCCTTATTTGCAATAAAACAGATCATACTTCACAAAGAACACATGTGATGATTAATAAAATGTATCAAGTGTTATTGAAAGGGATGTTGTCGTTCTGTTTCTGTTTTGACTTGAAACATCCTTTCCAAAAATTTCTTGTAACACTAATTGTAGGTTTTTATAGGAAGTAGAGACGATCAGCAAGGTCAAAGGACGGCTCCTTGTGGATTGATTGTCCTACCAGGAAGGCAAGCTTGTGCGCATATTGGCATGGTGCAGGCACTCTGATGGTTCCCTTAGAAGAAACAAAAAAAAAAAAAAAGGTCAAGAATATGCAATTCATAGAGGCGGAAAGGCCTTACATCAAAACAGAAATATTAGGTACAATCAAGAGAAAGCTCAATATCAAAAGGAATGAGTGCATGTCTTAATTAAGAAAAAGTATTTTAAGTATATAAGATTACTGATAGGCAAGGAAACTATGAGAATACTCAACATATATTTTAGATTGCCAACTAAGCAGGGCACTCGTTATTTTTACCCAGTTTTTTTACCATTTTTTTGCATCATTAAAATCCAATAGCCCTATTTGAGATTTCACTAATATAATGCAATACAAAATTTAAATACAGTCCATTAATCCTGGAGTTCATTGTCCTGTTATTGGCAAATCTTTGAAGATTTTGAGCGATATCAAACTAACCAAAATCTTACTGATATTATAAACCATTATATACTATTCAATTCTTGCTGCAAAACTTAACAAGAGTACCGCAAAGCAGAATAAAACATGCCCGTGAATATCCAAAACAGCAAAGGGGCATAACTCTTATTCAAATCATCTAATCAAAGCCCCATTCAGGAAAACACAATTTCATATCATGGTAATTAAGCCTACCAAGTTTCATAAAGATCGCCTGAAAAATGTTGGAGGAGATCTCTAGACAAGATTTCTATAGTGAAATAAACAAAGGGCCATAACTTTTGTTGAAATCACCAAATTGATACCCTGTTCAGGAAAACACAACTTCATATCATGGTGATTAAGCCTACCAAGTTTCATAAAGATCGGCTGAAAAATGTAGGAGATCTCCGGACAAATAAAAGTTTACGATGGACACTGGACGGACAGTGCCATACCATAATAGACGGGCGTATAAAAAGTATTTGACAACAACAAAGAAAATATCTATTAAATCTTTTTCAAGTCAAGCAACTCTGGCAAATACTGGCCGATTATGACCAATATTAAAAACCTCTAAGATCACATTGATCCAAGGCAAAATATCAAATTTGAAGACAACAGGCCCAGGGAGCCCGTATTGTTTACCTGGTTATTGAAGTTTATAATGCAAAACTTTACATTTCTCATGAAGGAAAATATTTTCCCTGATGAGCCTCAATCCACAGATACAGCTTCAAATTCCCTTTGAATGGGGACAGACATTAATTGTTAATCTCTTGATGACCAACAATGCTATCAAGTTATGGGATAGTAATCTCAATGGCTTCAAAGATATAATGTCATGGGGAGGGACTAGACTCCAACTATATCATAGAACCAATGATCCAAATAAATTGTTGATGGTGCCAAGCATTGATATGAAAATGAACCAAATCTATTGAGGGCTAAATTTTCTCTGTTGGGTCCCTCCCATCTGGCCCAGGGGGATCCCAATGGGCTCTTGGCACCCACCATTGTGTGATCTTTATTTGCTCTTTGTCAGTTGGATCTTTTCCCTTCTTTTCTCTGTTTTTGCGTTTAATCATAAAAATGAACATTCCTTCGCAGATATAGCAATGATATTCCTTATCTGTCAAGACCATTGCCTGAAAGCCATTTTGCTTTTCTGACCAGTTCTAAAATCAAATGGGCACAACTAGGGACAAAGGGGAACCTTCATAGGAAATAAGAGATACATTCAGTACTTCCTATGGAATAGCAATAACAACCCTCTCTCAAACAGGCATAACTAGGGACCAAGAGGAACACACATGTGAAATTATAAGAAAGATCCAACCAGTACTTGTCAAGAAAAAGTGATAACAAAATTTGTTTACCGACCGATAAATGACGGACCAGAGACATGGGGCCATATGAATAGCCCACCATTTGAGGATGGTGGGCAAAATACAGAAGAAAAAAAAAAAAAAAAAGGCACAGTAAACGAGTTTTATCTTATAAGCATTAGCTCTAATAACATTTTCTCCCCTGGTTAATATCAATAAGCATAACATACCGGCCAGTTGTAGTAGAGATGAGTCATTTTATATGTCAACCTCTGCATATGATCTGGCTTCAATCCAGTGGTGTCAAAAATGACATTAAAATGTGTTGGAGTTACTGTTCCTTGTCGCACTGATTGTGACACCAGGAAGAAGTCAAACCTAATTACAAATAGAAACACATCAACTTTCAACCAAGTCAAACAAATGTACAGTAAAATTAAAGCTACTATTTTTTCCCCTTTAAACACTTTTTTCTGTCAACTGGTTCAATATTTTCTTCAACATTCAATGTGTTTTCATTGGGCAGGGAAGGTTAAAACAAATAAAATAGAAAATGTTTGAACCAGTGATCACAACCTATTAACTAAACAGTAAAACAATTATCAGGTTAAGACCAACTATCAGAAGAATTCTCTGAAGCTTTGAAATGTAATGAAAGTTTCCAATAACATTCTAGAAAACAATTATACAATTTTAGCTCTTGCCTCTCCCTCTCTGTTTTTGAGTAAACAGCACTAAAATGTATCATACCCCCTACCCCTTTATGTTTTCATGTTTACACACATCAAATCAAATCTACTCCTTACCATTCTGGTTTGGTGACCTCTGTGTCAATGACAGTCCCTGGAACAGGGTTAGTATATGTTCTTCCAGCCTTTGCAAAGAATCTGCTATTGATCCTCTTTTTTACTACCACAACTGCAATCTTGACACTGCAATAAATGAAGATTACTGATAAAACAGGTCAGGTTTATCTTTGAGCACTATAAACAATCATTATTGTTCCAGAATATAAATTTGCTCATTTCTACCATTCTACTTTAATTTATTCCACTCTCAGGCCATTGTGTAAATATGGTGGGTGTTGGATAAATATAAGTGATATTCCACTAGTGGTATATGGCCTTCTGGATAAATGATCGGTGAACTTTGACCTGAACTACCTTTTTCACTCGCGAGATTTGTTCCACGTGCAATTTGTTAAATATCGTCTGCTGTCAACATGGCTGAACTGGATACGCTTGAGGAGAATGTAGGTGATAAAGTAAGGCTATGTGATGGGGAAAAGGGTGTAATCCGGGCAATTTCAAAAGCAGATAATAATGATGGGTTTGATCATTTCCAAATAGAGCTTAATTGGGGAAAGACTGTTACAGAAGCCAGGTATCGTTTCGACGTGATACCGGCTTGTCAGTGTTAGCCTGTATGTTTACAAATGCTTATACTCCGCCCCTTTTACGTCAGCTTACGTCATTGATACATAGTAGTACAATGCATTTGTAATGTTGCACTTGCTTACACCTAGGCCTAACATTGTAGCCTTTTCATAATTTTAGTCGATTGAAGCCAAAATTAATCTTTTGAGCATAATTCCAGCCCAAAGTCATAATTTTTAAAAATTATTTCGGATGTCGGAATGGTTCATATATAGGCCTAGATTAAATTGCTTTTATTTATTCAGTTCATATTCAGAGTTTAGATTTATGCCTGTTTTTTTATATAACCAGGTCTGATGAACAAGTCTGGGAGTAACAATAATGGAAAAAGACTGACAAACCATAGTGCCAGGAAGTATCTTGTACAAAAACTCAATGACTATTTTCACATTGAAATATCTCAACTTGATCATTAGGGCCTATAATCGTTACGAGTAAATGAACACTTACCTTGTTTAAAGAAATTAAATCCCACAGTTTAACACTAATATAAATTTATAAAAAAAAATTTGCTTTCATAATACAGGGCAATGCATCACTGTCAGGCTTAGAGTAGACAATAACTAGATCTCTACTTCCATTGGTCCTATAAAACGTTGCCTTATTATGTAATTCCCTGCATCCTCCAGATTTCCGTTCACAAGAATATCCACAGTATCAACAGTTACTCAACTTTAAACACAAACCAGCACTGGATGATTTCAAGAGCGATATCGTCATGCTTGGACCATATTGGTGACAGGCATTTCACTAGAGCTAATAGCACATCTAGTGCAAGCGAAGTCATCGTCAGACCTCAAAATCCTGTATCAACTGTGTCTGCAAATCCCACCGGTGCCCTTACTTCAGTATTTGCATGTCATATTCACGGTGGTTCATTAACAATAAACATTAACAATACAAACGTCTATAAACGTCCCAGACCAAGGGTGCTGTACTCTGATTCTGACAGTGATTGAGTTTGAAGTTTCCGGTGGGAACCAGACGACACCACTATATGTGTCTGTATAAAAGCGCGCCTAATATAGTCCGCGATTTTCTACAATTGTATAGACAGTTCAAGTTTACAAGACAACTAATCGTCATTGTGTTATTATGTGTAAACTTTAAAATTGTGAAAATGATAAAGAAATAAATTATTTACCACCATACATATTTTTGAATATTAATTGGAGCCTTTTTACTCTGAGTGATATATCTACGCCACATTTGCATATGTCAGCAAATTGTTTACACACGTATACATGTATTGGTCTTAGCCTACCGCCTGTGATCTTGAAATAAGAATGGTAGAAACAGATTACACAACGAGTGGTTGTTGGATACGGCATTTATTTCACTCGAGTTAGTTATTTTTTAAAAGTTACAAAAGACACGAACTTTAGTGAGTGTCTTTTGTAACTTTTAAAAAATAACTTACGAAAGTGAAATAAACGGCGTATCCAACAACCACTCGTTGTGTAATCTCTATGTATATGACAGGGGAATGGTAAGCATGCTGTATTTATCTGGTTATATCATTTATCTAAAAATTAAAAACTGCCAAAAAGCATTAAACTTGATCTAGATAAATAGAAAGAGGCCTAAGGCTCTAACGGTCACTAGAGTCACAATGTTTATTGTAACATGTCATAACAAGAGATCCCAGAGGGATCTTGGCGCCCACCATTTGAGGATGTTTTCAGTTCTTGAACTAGGGACCAAGGGGAACCTGCATATGAAATGTGAAAAAGATCCATCCAGTACTTTCCCAGAAATAGCGATAACAAACTTTTACTTCCAAAATCCAAGATGGCCATCTGTCAGCCATCTTGAATTTGAATCAGTCCAAAAAAGGTATAATGCACAACTAGGGTCCAAAGGGATCCTGCATATGAAATTTAAGAAAGATCCATCCAATACTTTCCCAGAAATAGCGGTAACAAACTTTTACTTCCAAAATCCAAGATGGCTGCCTGTCGGCCGTCTTGAATTCAAATCAGTCCAAAAAAGGTACATTGCACAACTAGGGACCAAGGGGAAACTGCATATGAAATTTGAAAAAGATCCATCCAGTACTTTCCCAGAAATAGCGGTAACAAGAATTGTTTATGGACGGACGGACCACGGACGCAGGGCGATTTGAATACCCCACCATCTGATGATGGTGGGCTAAAAATGATTTTATTAAAAACAGGTAACTTTAATTACATTCTACACATAATGCAAATGTAAATTGTACATAACATCAACTGCTGTTCCATGTAAGGCTTCTAACCAAGCTTGAATTAAAAGAAATTACACTCAATATTTGATTTTCCGATATCAAAACTTTCATCCAGGTACAGTAGAACATCTCTGAAATGCGACCCATTTTTTGCCCTGCCTATCAGCACCTGGCTGTCAGCCAAGGTCATTATGTGCATCTTATCAAGTCATCAATGTGACCAACTTTTGGCCCCGCCCCTCAGTCCCCAGGGGATCAGTTGAGGTCAATAAGCACCTCTCATGAAACTGTCTGCCTATCAGCACCTGGCTGTCAGCCAAGGTCATTATGTGCATCTTATCAAGTCATCAATGTGACCAACTTTTGGCCCCGCCCCTCAGTCCCCAGGGGATCAGTTGAGGTCAATAAGCACCTCTCATGAAACTGTCTGCTCATACTAAAAATTCTAACAAAGTTTAAACTATTACTGAAAGAAAATAAACAAAATATGCTAAAAACTTAATTTTCCTATATAACCAAGAGTTAATTTTATTCCCTCCCAAGGGAAAACAATGAGGTCATGAAATTTACAATTTTGGTAATGCATCTTAATGCCTTTCAATTCATCAAGAATATTTGATTTTGCCAAATCTGCAATTTGAGAAGAATATTTTTGAAGTTTCAATCAATTTGACTCTTTTTGGCCCTGCCTCTCGGGCTCCTATGGGTCAGGGACCACATAATTTACAATTTACGAGTGCCTTTGGCCATGAAAGGTTTTTGTAAAATTTCACTGAAATCAATTCAGGAGTTTTCCAGAAGTTGAGAATGTTAAAAGGTTTACAATGCACGATGCCAGAAAAAAGGGGGCGTTTCAGGAAAATCATTCATGCTTCAGATCAAATTGAGACAGAATCCTCCCATTCCCGCGGAAAAAGGACTAATTTGTTCTATTTCCCCTATAATAGATCTTGCCCCCACTGCCTCTGCGCTTCGAGACCCAAAATTAATAGAGCATCGTTTCCCCTTCGCCCAAGAATGCTTCAGACCAGAACTAGTAGCTGACATACGGATGGATGATGGACATCAAACTTGTTAGGCTTGGTGCACAAATAGAGGGCTGGACGTTACGTACAGTTTACCAAACAATCTCTCTATTGCCTGATACCAAGAACAAAGCATCTTATCTAACTGCAATACATTTACAATGTCCATAATGCAGGGCCTAACCAATTAATACAGACTATCAGGTACCAGACATAAATACCAAGACTGTCCGAGATTGAGAACAGGGTTCATACAGATGACTGCTGATAAATTTTAAGGGTTTTTCAAGAATTTTTTGTCGAAATTCAAGGGCCATTTAAACTTCTTTGAACAAAGAAAAACAGGTAGATTTGGGACACTAATTACTATAATTTGTACTATAATTTCCCAGCATATAACAAATACATCAATATCAATGCTGACCTTAAATATATATTATACCAATACTGTAGTTCTAGTGTAGTCAGTTTTTCAGAGACTCCACTTTTTCTGTAATACTGTCCTCTACTTGCTTTAACTCTGCCACCTTCTCTTTCGACCTCTTCCTCATACAATTTGACTGAGTGACTAATGACAATTGTCCTTTTTTCTCGGCCTGCTCTGCAAGGGCATCTGCCTTTGTGTTCAAGTCTTTAATATCAGAGGCAAGCCTTTGTTTCTTTTTCTTTAAAGTGTCTATCTCATCTAGTACAGATTTTCTTTTTTCTCCTTGCTCTAAAGTCTGCATCTTTTTTCTCTCTTCTTCCAGGAATCTCTCACATTTTTGTCTAGCACTCCCAGCTGCAAGTAAGAGTTCCTTTGTAACTGGAACATTTAGAATGCCCCCCTTAGATTTCACATAGTCACATATTTGCCTTTGGGCAACTAATGTTTTGTTTTTCATGTTCACAGCTTCTACCTCCTTGTTGACCGAGAATCCCCGTTCTACACACACTTGTCCATGGGACATTATCAGCACCATCTTCACAACTTGGAGAAGTTCTCTGTACTGATCTGTTGACAAGTGTTCAGCGAAAAATGTGTCAAGTCTATCACTGTTTCTTGAAAAACCAGTAAACTTTTCACATCCAATTGAGCTTACAGAGTCAACAAACTGATTATATTGTTCATCAATCTGATCACAATTGTCATGAATTTTTCCAGCACTTCTTAAGCACACAAGTACTTTCTTGAATTTAGATCTGCATATACTGGGGTTAGAAGCCATTTCCCCTGGGTCAAGTGCTGACAAATTCCTAACCAAAGAATATGAAATTGGACATTTCAGTAATATCTTTTGACAAGTTTCACAAAGATATTGTCTGGCTTCCATCTTGAATTCCATGACATCTTTCTCTGACAGTTTCTTGCCTCGATCATCTGCCTTGGCTTTCCTGAGAGCTGCCTCTGTGGCAATACCAATGTCAACTTTGTTGTAACTTACAAGATTTTCCTTCTTTGCTACATCAATTTTGGAGAGTTTATCTAAATTGTCGCACTGTTCTAAAATATCAGGTTTTATAACTTTCGTAAAAGACTCCTGAGTAGTGAAGCTAAATCATTAACCATGAATGGGAGAACAGGCTTGTCCGTCTGATAAAATGCAAGGAACGGCTGTAAGATATTTGCCACTAGTCTGAAGAATTCTAGCTTTGTTAAGATGAACTTGTCCTTAGTGAACTCCTTCAACGTAAGAGTTACAGGAAGGTTGTTGAGACTTCTTCTTAGATTCCATCTCTGATACATACTTAACCAAGCTTGGCCATATCTCTGAAGCTCTTTTAGCCACGGGCTCATTTTCCAGCCATCTATGGTTGCAAAACTTAAGAGGCATTAAATTCCTTCCATCTGATTCAACCATTTTTCTGAAGTCTTCTCGCCTTGCTGGGGAATCTTTGTATAGGTAGTAGATACTTGCAAGAAGTGAATCAACACGCCAACCACTAGCTATACCTCCAGTATTAAAACTGTTATGAATAATGTGCAGTCCACAGGAGCCTATGTTCAATAATGTGTTACTGAAGTCTTTTTTCAACTGATCTGAGATCTGTTCATAAAATTTCCAATTCACATTTGGCCCATCCATTCCAATCTGAATCAATTTACTGGGATCCAGTTCACTATCAATAACCCCTTCTATAAAATGCTTAACCATATCATTTGCTGTTGCATGGCCAAGAAATTCTGAATCAAAATACCTTGTTTTCACCATGTTCACCTCTTCATCCCAAAAACGCACATGTACATCCATTTGCTTGGTCTGTGACTTTTTGTTAAGAGATTCGTCAAAAAGCACTGTATAGTATCCACGAATATCTTTTAGCAACTGTTTTTTAAAGCGTTCCGATAAGCCAAACAAGGCCAAATAGGAAGACTTCCGTTCACCACACGTAAATTTTTTGGCGATAACACTATCTGCAAACATGATGGGGAATAATTTTGAAACGTCATCATTTGATTTAAATGAACAATGTTGCGTGACAGTATGTAAAGTCCACATTACCTCAGCGCGGAGAGTGTCATTACGTACCACAAAATCGCTCATAGTCACATGGCCACTTCCACCAACTGTAGCTGTACCAACGTTCTCGGGAGGGGCTGGGATATTGAAATCAATTTCATCCTCTTTGCTTCCCGTACATTTACCCTTTGTTTCAGTTTCTTTGAAAAAATCGGTTAATCTTGGGCCCGACATAGGAACAGCTGACTGTGAGATAGACTTATGTTTTTTACTGTTCATGTGCGAGAGCAGAGCATGTTCTCCCATCTTGCCGAGGTCAATCAGTTTATTACACACAATGCAGTTTGCCATGTGTTTGTCACCTTTAAATTCCCTCGCCCATGATGAAAACCGTTGATCGCTAAGCCACTTTCTGTTAAACACACACTTTCCCATTTTGTCGTAACTGTTTTCATATCATTTTCATTTGCAAATGGCGCCGTTGGAAATGTGCTTTCACTGATCTGGTATCACAGAAACGCTTGTAACCAATGCGCTTTATCTACTAACGGCTGTACTATTATTGAAACTGTTTAAGGGTAATATTTCCGGATTTTACGTACTTCATTCTTTTTTTTTCAATTTGATTCATTCAATGATCATTTTTTCGATTTAAAAACAACAAAAACAATATAGGGCAACAATTTTACCGTGCAGGGTGGTTATCATTGATTTTCAAGGGTTTTCCAAGGCTTTTTATTGATTTTCAAGGGTTTTTCAAGGCTATACACTATTTTCAAGGGTTTTTCCAGAGAATGCACTATTTTCAAGGGTTTTTCAAATCTGTGCGAACCCTGGAGAAAGCTAGTGACCTTAGGGGCCACGGTCAATGTCAATCCAGTTAACTGTTAGTCTGATAACACTACACTAGGCCCTATGTCATTTAGGTTGGAAAAAGCTCATCCAAATCCTTTAGCACTTCAACAAGTCATCTCAGCTAACATTGGTTACCACAATTAGTCAAACTTACTTGTAGTCATCCCCAGCACATTCCTTGATTGTACCTACGACTTGTGGTACCTCATGCTCGTGAACGGCTGGGAGCTGTCCATCCCCAACACCATCTCGGAAGATGACTATTTTCTCCGGCAACATGCCGTTTTCTTCATGGTACTTTTTCAGTGCATCTGTAATTAAACAGATTCACGAGAAAAGTGAAATCATGTGCTATTTACTTCTGATTCTGGTCGTCATTGGTACCTAGATTACTAGATATGGGGAGAAACTGAGGAGTTAGAAAGTGTACCCAAAACCCAAACTTGTGCAACTTTTATAGTGCAAACTACTGAACATATTCTGTGTTGTATAAAATGCCAGGCCTACATTGCTTCCAGCATATCCATAGCTTTGATCTTGCATATTGTTCACTTGGACATGTATATAGCATTATACACATGTTCTCGAGGCACCTCTAAATCACTCCAGAAATCACCTTGACTAGTCAATATTTCATCATGACAGATCAAATTTCAGTTGTTGAATGTTATAAAACAAACTTCAATTAATTCATTTTTAATATAATAAAAGGCAATTTACCTTTTATTAATTGGAAATATAAAAATTCATGTATATTTCTGCTCATACACATTTATATGTAGTAAAACGAAATATTGGTAGATTAAAATGTGATGCCTAGGCCTTTGCTCATAAATATTGGTTGAAATCTATATTGTAGATCATAACTTCAAATCCTGTCAATTCAAAAGGTTATTTCATTCATAAAACTTAATAAACAGTATTTATTTTCATTTTTGATTCTGAATGGTTATCATACAAATTATCTGGTATTGTGCAGGTTCCATGGGTGGGGTGCTTTGGACTGAAATTTCGTTCTCATCACAGCTCTAATTCCCATCGGTAATTTTTGTCTTGTCAAGAGCTGTAATTCCAATCAGTATTTTTCAAGTAACTGCACTAGCAAGATCATTCTGACCAGAAATTATTCTTCTATGAACATTACTACCTTTAACACAGATCTTTACCTTGCCTACCTTTTACACAGAACTTAACCCTCCCTACCTTTAACACAGAACTTTACCTTCCCTGTCTTTAACACAGATCTTTACCCTCCCTAACTTTAACACCGATCTTTACCTTCCCTGTCTTTAACACAGATCTTTACCCTCCCTAACTTTAACACCGATCTTTACCTTCCCTGCCTTTAACACAGAACTTTACCCTCCCTACCTTTAACACAGATCTTTACCCTCCCTATCTTTAACACAGATCTTTACCCTCCCTATCTTTAACACAGAACTTTACCCTCCCTGCCTTTAACACAGAACTTTACCCTCTCTACCTTTAACACAGAACTTTACCCTCCCTACCTTTAACACAGAACTTTACCCTCCCTACCTTTAACACAGATCTTTACCCTCCCTACCTTTCAGACAGATCTTTACCCTCCCTACTTTAACACATATCTTTACCCTCCCTACCTTTAAGACAGATCTTTACCCTCAATACCTTTAACACATATCTTTACCCTCCCTATCTTTAACACAGATCTTCAGATCTTTACCCTTCCTACCTCTAACACAGATCTTGAGTCCATCGTTGAGCTCCTGCGCAGTGTGCTGGAAGGTACATCTGGAGTAGAACCTTGTGATGGTTCTGTTAATGCTACATACCACACCTCCAACAGATCTGCCTTTGCTAGCCGAGTCATGGTAGGTGTCAATACCGATAACCATCAAATTCTTCAGCTGTTTGAAAAATAAATTTATATTTTCAAGATCACACTTGCTTTACCCTCCTAAATAGATTTGATAAGCATAAAGTCAACAGTGCCAGCTTTAATAACCTAGTTATTGAGGAAGTCATGACACTTTTTGGCCAAAGCTTTTATAACAAGAGACCCCTGCACCCTCAATTGTTCGATTTTATTTCCTCTTTGAAAGTTGTACCTTTCCCATCATTTCTTTGTTTTTGCTCTTAATGATGAAAAATTTGAAATCCAAGATGGCTGCCTGTTGGCCATATTGTTTTTCCGATCAGTCTTAAACCCAAACAGGCAAAACTAGGGACCTAAATGAAGCCCTTCCAGCAGGGTGAGCTAATGAAATATTTCTTTTATCATAACTAGGAGCAAATAAATTGCATCTATAAACTTTCCCCCCTCCTTAAACATCAAAACATGACAAGAATTTTCCATTTTGATCAAACCAATTTCCAACAAACTTTAGAATGCAGTTTGTTTTAGTTGCTATTCCTGATTATACAAAAGATTTTACTACAATACTTACTGGGATATCAAGACGCCAAACCTCTCCACCAAGTTTACAGTTAAGCTGAATGGCAATCTTTGTTGCCACAGACATCAACATCTGTTTCTTAGCCAGAGTACGGGCAACCACACACTGGCTAGGCACTAAACAAAAATGTTTATCAGCAATTATACCAATTATGTAGTACACACAAGCTATTTATTTAGTGGTGATCAAATAATACATATTTTTAAATTTTGCATAGTAACCTGCATTATCACCTGCTATATGAAATTTAAGAAGTTGAAATACAAATATGCTCAGCTTATGTAGACAAGTGAACACTAACTATAAACTATATCTAAATACTGATAAACAATTTCTCCAACCATACCTGGATGGTCAACACAGCAAGCCTTTTTGATTGCATCATACCGATCCTTTCTGTTGGTGGGCAGGATGCACAGAACTAGCTGAGTTTCTTTTGTTACATATCTCTTTAAATTGTCCAGGAAAGTAGAAGAGCGATCATCATTCAACTCGCATCTTTGAAAACAAAACAAAAGCAGTATAAACAAGGCCTCCTATAAATCTGCAAGATTCCCCCTGGCAGCTTTGATCAATGACCAAAATTAAAAATTTCACTAGAATTGTCCCTAAGATGGCCAACTTATCAAACCCACTCACCCCAATCAACAATAGTTAAGGAAGGGTTGTTAGAACAACATTCCTCCAAGCGGCCTTCAATTGGTAACATTCCATTAAAGACCTTTGCGTCATAAAATTCACAATTTCTGCAAAGTAACTTAAGACCCTTCCAATCACTTAGAGCATTTGATTCTGCCATATCTAGTTGTTGAAAAGAAGATATGTTAAATTGAAATCAATTTGACCCCTTCGGCCCTCACCCCTCAGGTCCCTGGATGGAGTGGACTGTATAATTCACTATTTTGGTTTATTGTAGGCCTGGAAATGTTTCTGCGCAATTTAATTGAAATCGGTTCAGGAGTTTTTGCGAACAAGTCAAAGTTGTTTTAAGTTTACGGACATACTACTCCACACAAAAGGCGATGGAACAGGTCATCATGAGATTTTGTCTCGGACAGGGTTTACATCACCAATTGTCAATGTTGTATTTTGAGATAACAATAAAAATTGTATTGTCGATAAAATATGGAGTTTGCCGATTTTTTGGAGGGACAAAAAACCACTCATTATTTCGTAAAAACTTATTAAAAGTGAAAATAATGACAACAAGTAAGACAAAGGAAGTGAAAATGGTATGTAGCAAGTACTTTCTATGGCATTCCTTACAAATATCCAGTATATGTATGGTAGCTAATAAATTGAATATTGACAACTTTTTCAGTTCGAAATGTATGGTGAATACATACTGATTTATCATTTTTTTTGTAATTTTGGAAAATCTATATGTATTCATTTATGCAAAAATATTCAACCTTTTCCATACAGTTTGGGAAAATATACGGACATTTTTTATATCAAATAATTGGAAAAACTTTTTTGTTCATAGAAGCATGTTGTATTTGACTGTGAAAAAAGGGCAATAGAATGAAATTTTGTGGGCATTGTGTTAGCATGGAAAATAAAATTCTGTGAAGGTTGCTTCAAGTAACAAATTTAATTGTGTGGATTATTTGATTTGACAAAAAATGTTTAAATGCTTGGATATTGAATAAATTTTACCGTATAGAATGATGGGGTAAAAAATAAGCGCCTCCCAACCCCTTCACACACTTAATTCTGGAGCAGCCCTAATGGCAAACTTCAAACTCTTAAGTTAGTGACTGTAATTTGGTTTCTCCAAAACTAAATTGTTAGAAAGCATGTTAACAGATTCATTGCCAACTACTTTTTATCCTCTTGTTAAATCTTATACTATAGTAGATAGTACACCATCTTGTTTCCAATCAGTCAGATGTCATACAGAAAGCAGCATCCTATAGACGGATGGAACTCATTTAAAGTTGGCGGGGATAAAATTAAAAGCCAACAATCTATGTCTCCATATTATTACATCAGAGATCTTTTATCAATATTATACATCAATTTAACAGTCCACTTACTGCTGTGGGCGGTTGATCCTCATGTCCATTGGTGGTCCCACCTTACTAAGAGTGTACTTACTGCTGTGGGCATTTGACCGTCATGCCCATTGGTGGTCCCACCTTACTAAGTGTGTACTTACTGCTGTGGGCGGTTGATCCTCATGTCCATTGATGGTCCCACCTTACTAAGTGTGTACTTACTGCTGTGGGCAGTCGATCGTCATGCCCATTGGTGGTCCCACCTTACTAAGTGTGTACTTACTGCTGTGGGCAGTTGATCCTCATGCCCATTGGTGGTCCCACCTTACTAAGTGTGTACTTACTGCTGTGGGCGGTTGATCCTCATGCCCATTGGTGGTCCCACCTTACTAAGTGTGTTCACCAGATCTGAGGCGTTTCCTGTATCACGCCTGGTATAACAAATGACCCAGTTATCCAGAGGCACACTTGTAAGCAGTTGCTTGCCACGAAGATCTCTGCTCCAATCAGCATCCTCTTGCTTGTAAGTGCACTGCAAAAAAATGTGCTATGAATTGAATAATTTGTTTTCCTTTCCTTCATTAATGCGTACTCCTCACTAGGTAGTTTAACATGTTAATTTTGGATAAACATTATAAATAATTTTGAGGGCTTTCAGAGAAAAGTGACCCTATCTCTAAGGTACTGATGCAGAGTAGCGACCCATCCATGGGAAAATCAATTCAGAAGTGATCTCCCCATGGGATGATATTGCTGAAGGCACCTTCCATGGGAAGTTGATGTAGTGTATATACTCTTCCATTGGATACCAAGAGACACGACTATTTCATGACATAGCTATGGAGAGTAGTGACCTTCTATGGGATATTGATGGAGAGAAGAAACCTCTCTATTTATATTGATGGAGAGAATTATTCCATGGGATGTCAACGCAGAGTAGTTACCCTTCAGTTGAAGTTTAATGCGGAAAGACCTCTCCAAGGGGTATCAATTTCCGTAGGAAATTAATGGAGAGAAAGACCTCCTTCCATGGGAAATTTGATCAAACGCAATGATCATTCTATGTTAAATTAATGGAGAGTAGTGACCTTTCCATGGAAGATGATTTTAAAGCGGTATCATTCCAAGGGAAATTAATGAAGAGAATTGACATTTTAATTTGCAATCAACATTGAACATGATAGCAACCAGCTATTTGACCCAAAACTAACTCAAAGACATCTCTCTTGAAAAAATGAGAAATGTCACATTTCATAATGATATTCAAAGTATACTTATTAAAAAAAAAAAGAAGAGAGAGAGAGAGAGAGAGAGAGAGAGAGAGAGAGAGAGAGAGAGAGAGAGAGAGAGAGAGAGAGAGAGAGAGAAAGAGAAACCTTGTGTGAGAAAAGTATTCAAGATGATCAAAATCAGTATACTAGTGAACAGAAGCCTGGCATAATTTAGTAAATAGACCCGATACATTGAACTATCTTGTATATTGTGAAGAACAGAAGGTTCCAATATTGGGACAGCTGATAATCAAATGGTCATTGTGTTGATGTGGATAAAAGTATGTAAAGGATAAGCTTGAAGACATGCTGAAACCCAAAAACCAGCAGATACTTTAACAGTAGTGAGGGAAATAAAGAAAGAGTCCAAATGACCAAGATGATTACCTGGGCATTTGACAGGTAGATGGCTTCCTTTGGTAAGACACGTCCCCCTATCTGCAGAAGGCTCTGTGAGAACCGAAGTCTCCATCCTCTCAGCTCTTCCACAACCTTTGGTGTGCTGAAATAATTCACAAACTTACCCTTAGTGCTTTACTGACAGGAAATGTTCCCCACCCACGACATCAACAACCACATCAAATTTCACAAAGCACACAACATATACAATGTTTGCCTATCAACAAAATGCTTGCATCATTGAACTTTCTTAACAAGCTAAAAATGTTTTCATTATAACAGCTCTGATAAATTGATTTCTTAGATACCTCTTCCTTGAGAGTAAATTTCTACTTCTTTATTTGATTGAAAGAATTCTTTCTCACGTATTTATCTGATTCATGAAGCCAGACAAGGTATTGCATCTGCCCTCTGGAGCAATCCTGGTGTGAGAAGCAACGTCTCTCATGACCGAAAAGTCATTCTTTACGTCGTCTGACAGGCCTGTAATGTTAAAATTTTAACTATATTTATATCATTTCATTTGAATATACACCAAGTAAAGGTGTCATATTGCACTCAATACACTTCCCTGACATGGAAACCATTTTTGAACAACATCCTCTTTTAAAGTATTTACAAAAATTTGCGACATATCTTCTATATTTTTAATCACAAAATTTGATCATCTTCATTATGACCTAATGATATATGATTTAATTCTACCCACCAGTCAGTATACACAACTCTGGAACCAGAAGCAGTGTTTCTGGACGCCCCATTTTCACCTCCTTTGGCTTGGCTCTGCTCACTAACATTGGCTGAAGATCATCCTTGATCTCTTTGTCATAGGCCTGTTTACAAAGTCATGGAATCGATGTATATACAATTTTATTTTCAACTAAATCACAGCACTTCATATGAATTAAGATTCACTTTTAACTAAAAATAATTAAGTAGGTTAAAACCTCTGATATAGCTGGGTTGATTTCATGCGCAACTTACTTATTTCTCACATGCATATTAAATTTTATAACCTAGGACTTCATTTTACTGCCATATGCATGCAACATGTCCTTTGGATTCTCCCCATCCCTAGGTCCATTATATTTCATACTACTAACACATTTTAAATAGAAAATTTACAACACACTGCCTCATCAAGGTGAACCCCAAGTATTAAGTTCAAGTGACTAGTTGTGTAGGAGTTTAAGCCCAGCAAAACTTTTATGTAGGTCGAAAGAATGTAGATGAGCGACCTATTTTTGTTACACAACACATTACCTCATCAAGATCAGTCAATACCCCAAGTATGATGTTACCTTCATATAATACTCTTTGAAACTAATTTCTCCTTCACGTCTCTTAAAGGTGCTTGTTGGATGAACATCCCACTCTATGTCATCAACTCTGTATGTTTTATTGTTGTATCTGCAATTGTTTCAAGTTTCAAGCAATCATCAATGATATAAAAAGTCTTGTTTTGATTAATAAATCAATCAATTGCTATCAGCATAATAGTGTTCTTTCCTTTGTCATATTACTTTACATATTTTTTTTTTCAATTTTTCAAAGATGTATGCATTCTGCAAATCATTCAGAACAAATAATTACCTTGTCAGCACTATGCTCCCAACAAACTTTCTTGTACATTTTTCGTAAAAGGACTCGCCACCTCTGTCCCCAGCATTGTACAGGTCATACATCATATCAAGGACGGTATCAATCCTCATGATTTTGTGAGATATATCAGCACAAAGCATGGCCTTATGTTCATATTGTAGTATGGAGGTAATGAATCCAGGCACCACCCGAAGTCTGTAACAAACCACAAGTCACACATATAAGCTTGACATTACACAAGTCACACATACAAAACCCTACATTACACAAGTCACATACACAAAGCCAGACATAATACAAGTCACACACACAAAGCCAGACATAATACAAGTCACACACACAAAGCAGACATAACACAAGTCACATATACAAAACCCCACATAACACAAGTCACATATACAAAGCCAGACATAACACAAGTCACATATACAAAGCCAGACATAACACAAGTCACATATACAAAACCCCACATAACACAAGTCACACACACAAAGCCAGACATAACACAAGTCACATATACAAAGCCAGACATAACACAAGTCACACACACAAAGCCAGACATAACACAAGTCACATACACAAAACCCCACATAACACAAGTCACACACACAAAGCCAGATATAACACAAGTAACATACACAAAACCCCACATAACACAAGTCACACACACAAAGCCAGACATAACACAAGTCACACACACAAAGCCAGACATAACACAAGTCACATACACAAAGCCAGACATAACACAAGTCACATATACAAAACCCCACATAACACAAGTCACAGACATAACACAAGTCACATACACAAAACCCCACATAACACAAGTCACACACACAATGCCAGAAATAACACAAGTCACAAACACAAAATCCCACATAACGCAAGTCACACACACAAAGCCAGACATAACACAAGTCACACACACAAAGATGCATTTTAGAAGCATTCATATATGAATAAACCCAAACAAACCTTTTGTTTAACACAGGATAACATTTTAGAAGTATTCAGAATTTGTTGCATTGAAAAGAAAACAAATATGGAAATGGCAGCAAGTCAAAAGTCACCAGGGAAAACAGTACTATGTCTTAACGACGAATTCAAGCCTACGAAGTTTTCAATCATAAAATCACAATGTCAGAAAGGAAAGCGGGTCAAAGTAACTAATATTCACAAACTTGGTAGCCTGCCATATCATCATGTTACAGGCCCAAAACCAGCTCTCAGGGCATTCCATCATGCTACTAGCCTAATATCAGAACCCTGGGCCTTTTGGTTAATGAGAAGAAGTCATTTGAATGGAAAGTTTATACATGGTTGTCAGCGCACAGCAGATGATGATGGATGAAACATGATCATGATGACCTAAAACTACGAGATCTTTCCCTTTCTTTTTACTTCTCTTTCCTGATTTTGCTTTTAATGATAACAACTTTGAACATTCCTTGCAGTAATAGTGATAATAATTTTAATTGAATTTTAAATCCAAGATGGCCATCAGTCAGCCTTATTCCCCCCTGATCAGTCCTAAAATCAAACAGGTACAACTAGGGACCAAAGGGTACCTACATGTGAAATATGAGGAAGAACCATCTTGTACTTCTCAAGAGAAAGCGATAACAAAAATTGTTTATGTACAGACGGAAGACGGACCATGGATATAGGATCTGAATAGCCCATTATTTGATAATTATGGGCTAAAAATGTTGAATCAAACTGCAATGTAGGAAAAAGGCACTTGTGATTGTGATTCATGTCCATAAAGTTTGAAAACTTTGGACAAGATTAACATAAAAATCACATGGGGCAGTACATGTTCCAAATACAGTCTTATCAATACTGTTGTTCTGAAAAACTTGTCGCAATAAGTAACATATCAACAAGGATTGGTCACTTGCTGAAGAAAGTTGCAATGAACTGCCAGATGGACAAACAAATGGTTCCCTCGTTTTCTAATTGGGCACATATAACTTACTTGTGTTGAGTAATGTCCACGGCAAGACCCATGTTGTAGTAGTTCCTACCAATTTGCTGCATATCTATCAGGTTTAGGATCCTGTAGAATTTAAACACAACGGATTTATTCATTTATCATAGACAATTAAACTTGCATGTTCACACCTGCAGGATAGATTTAAACAAGTTAAGGAATTGGTACTATAGACAATGTTACCGAGTCCTCTTATAAAATAATACCATAAAAACCCACGTAATGTGCATAGGTATTTTTTGGGGCTGAAAATGGTAAAAAAAAAACTTCCACTTGCATAATGTGCGCACCCCAACATTCTGTCAAAATTGATCACTGAGAGCCAAGATATTAATTTCTGAATTGTTCAGCCAAAGCATTAGACCAATGATATAAAGTCCAAAACTTGAATGTTCTCTTCAAAATTCGTCTTCATCTCATTTACAGACTTTTAATAACCTTCTATTTTATTATAGCCTAACGTTTGTGCATCTTGTATGTTTTCTTTAACATCAGACACGTGTTGCTGTCATTTACTTACCTATCCAATTATCCAATTCTTATCTGATGTACACAAGCACTTGTCTTCAAACTAGTTCTAATTAACAGTGTTCAGTGTTGAAATCACAGGTACAAGTCACTATCTACTTATTAATGACCAATTAAGATAATTACGACCTCTGTGAGTTACATTTTCTTTCATGTGTGTCTGTCACATCTTGTCGTGCCAGCTGACCTAAATTGAGGCCCCAACTCTGTATATGCAAGCAATCGGTATACGGAGCACAGAGTGTGCATGCATACGAGTATTACCAAATAAAGAATGGCGTAACATTACACATTTTGGTAAGTTAATCTCCCTAATGTTATACCTTTTTTATTTTTAGGTGTATAGTTATCATTCATAACCACAAATAAGACCAATTTTAATAAAAATTGAATTAAATCCATAGTCCGATGATAAAGCTTAATTATCATTCTGCATACTATTAGGTCAACGATCACGTCTGCCATTACACATGAAAACGGTGTTTTCATAGCCTCTGATTATCAATAATCTTATTTATTATTATTGTTCATAAATAAATCGTCAAATCCTTTTTGTGTCAGTTTTGAGTTCCAGATAATCTCATCGATCAATGGGCAGCCTCACAGAATCTTTGATTTTTCCATGAAGAAAACCTTGAAAATCCTATAGCTATTTACTGTGTGCACCCCCCACTTTTGTTGTTTCTCTAAAAAAAACTGCACACATTACGTGGGTTTTTATGGTATCAGTTCTACAATAAGGAAAATAAACATCACTTTCAATACTTAAAGCAGTTTCCTTAGCTTTAAAGTTAATTTCAGATTAAATACTTCTCAAATTTACCTTTTGAATATAACATTGTACAAGTGCAAGCATTGGGGACTGGTGCTATGGAAGGTGTTGGTCAACTTGATTGTAATGCGAATATTTTCATTGTCCCGCTTGGTCTGACTGTAAACCTCGGTCACCTGTAGAGAGTTATATGACATTCAAGATAATGCAAAGCATGATATTATCCCTCATGCCCCGCTGTTTAAAAGAGACATGCAATCATATATACATGTTGGTATTACAAGTTTAATCTTTATTTATTTCTTAATTGTTCCATACAAGGTATTGAAATGGAGAACTTTTACTAGAGTACTAGCTTGATGTCTGTACAAAATTTTGAGTATCAGGTTATTTACCTTAAAAGGTTTAAGAGAACTGGTCTGAAATTTCACTTTGTGATTTTGCCTATCTGTTTTCCATGGTAACAGAAAAAGCATTTAAACGGAGAACTTCCCCATAGCAAAAGACACTACTAGCTTAATAAGTGTAAAAAGTTATGAGCAATTATCTTGAATGGTTTCAGAGCACTGGCCCAGAAAAACCGAAATTTGTGATGAGGATTATCTGTTTCCATGGTAACAAGAAAAACAATATAATTAGGGCACTAACCTAATGTATACAAAAAGTTTTGTGGATTCAGTTTGTAAACCACACCCAATTCAAATGCAATAGTCTGGGTCTTATGATGACAGGTTTCAAGAAGCAAACCAAGGAAAGAAATGTCTTTTTTTCCTGTTGAGTCCCGAGGACAATAGGGTCATTTTACCAGAATAGTCCAAAGACCATCATTCATGTATGTTATATGTTTTACCTCTTGTGGAAGCTTATGTGGTAAATATAAGATCATGCCATCAAAAACTCTGGTTGGTCCAAGAAGATCAGCATGTGTGAACAACAGTCCTGCTCTCATCTTACGACTGTCTATCATTGGGTTGAAGTCCACATGATACTGGTAAAGGGACCAATCTTCATCACAGTCAAATGTGAAAAAGTTTGTCGCCAAAGGTAATGGTGTCCCAGAACTTCCTGTAAGATGAAGGACAAAACCTCCTATTAGGATTTGTAAGTTATCCAATTTTTATACAAGGAGACTATTTCACAATGGTCTGAGTTCAAGAAGTCATATCCTCCCTTACTATAATTTGCAGGTTTTAATTAGATCACATTGGAAAAAACGATATTACACTTATTAAAGATATAAACTCATTGATGTAACAACTTTTGCTGAATCTCCATTTCTAGTCTATGCCTAGGTGATTGTGCCATTCTTGTATCTTGCGTTATCCTCATTGAAGTCCCTACGACACTTTCATAAATATAAACGAAGGCTACCCTGCAGTCGTCTGGCAATAATCCAGTGAAAAACCTTCCTTTGAAGTAGCATTTTTGTCCAGTTAAAAACTATCATTAACATAAGATAGTTGACAACTATCGTGACAGTTATCTACTTGTAGAATTTCCAACCAACCTACTGCTATTGAGAGTTTGCTCTCACAATACATTGATGAGTCAACCTATCATTCCACCACTACGTAATAATTATATTATATAAATACTGAACAAAAGCATGTACATATTGCCAAACATTTACACAACAAAAACTTGACACAGAGCCATTCCTTAAGTCAGTGATGAAAATGTAATGCTATCCAAGCAAAATACTACCATAACTAACAAATATTTTGTATATCAACTTTTCCCCAATCATTAAAATACAACATTGACTGTTTCTGAAGTTACCCCTTTTGTCTGTAATGTGAGCTGGCCGGGTATTGACATCTGTATATCTAAAGTCTGCCCTCCTCCTTCCAATTTGCTTTGCATCTCCCGTTCCAACTCTAAGCTGGGCCATCTCTTCTACTGGGGCCCTTGGGGCATCCCCTGCCCCTGGTCTAGGTGCAGTCCCTCCACCACGGTAACTTGCTCTACCACTGCCAGCTACACTAGTAGCCCCAGCAGGTGTAGGAGCAGGAGCAGCTGCTGATGGCTGGAGAAAAACAGCAATAGCATCAGCTTCATTTGACGATATGATGGTAACATGGTAGCTCTATGGTCTTGTTAATATATTTCTGGTCTGAGGAGAAACACTAACTCCAGTAAGAATTTCCAAGTGAAATTTATTTCATGTGTGATCCTTGAACAAAGTTAAGGTAATCATCAAGTTGCTTTTTAAAATGTTTAAATAAGTAATAAAATTCTATTGCATCAGACTGATCAGTAGTTAAAAATTAAGCCAAAACTATCCTATGTCATAACTCTTACAGGAACGACCCCCATCTATCCCACATCACTGCTTGTGCTTACTGGTGGTGCTCTTTTTTGTTCTTCCCCTGGTCTTCTGGAAGGCTCTTCCTGAGGAGTTCCGCTTCCTCGAGACCGACCTCTGGATCGTCCTCTGGCCCGTCCAGACATTTTTATTCGTAGCTATGTAGTCAGTTGCTGCAAATATGATTCATGTGGCATCAAGCCCCAAAAATAAAGCTATATCAGGAGTATCAATCAAATGATATGGAAATGTCTAGGAAAATGTTTGAAGGTTACATAAAAAAAGAAAATGAGCTAAGAAACATTAAACAATCCATGTAAGGTTACCCAGTGTCATATCATATTTGTATCCCCCATCAGAAAAGGATCCGGATCACTTTTCCCTCATCAGAAAAAGACCTGGGGATCGCTTTTCCCCCATAAGAAAAGGGTACCCCCTATAGTTGTAATATTATTATAATGTGCTAAGCGACATTTGATTGTCAATGATGTAAGCGTCTCAATAAAGCAGTCAAGTTAACATGAGCACATGGTATCCACCTTGTTGTTACAATAGTATTTTGATCCCCCTTGTGAATTTTATTTTAAACTTGAAAGCTTTATAAATAAAATGAGGTATGATAGGTAACTGTGTCTGGGACTTGATCACTGATACCTGGGTTACCTGTACAGGTGTGATTACATAACACCTGTGCAGCCAAGGCTGAAGAGGTCAAGCTCCAGATGGTGTCTTCTCACTTAGCCAACATTATGATTTTTGGTTTATACAGGTAAGGTATTTTGTTGGCCACGTGAAACAGGTAATTACAGGTAAGGCTATAGACTGCTTCATAAAACTTCCTACTTTCGAGAGAAAAATAACTGGATATTTAAGAATTACACGTATATTTATTTCACATTGAATGCATTTACAGTATTAACTTACTTATATACCCTATATATAAGAAACATTGCTACTATTTTAAATTATAGAAAAAACATAGGAATATCAGAAAGTACACATATAGCTACTATTTTTCAACTATTTTAATTATTTATGTACATACACATATATAGTCACATAAATTAGCTTGATTTCAAACGTCCTTTAAAATAGAAGTATTATAATGCTCTGTGCATCCTCTATATCATGAATTAAAATCACCTATTAGTAATTCAATGGTGAAGGCTTATAAAAGGTGTTCCCATACAAAAGGAAATGAATTAATTCAATTCGGTACACGAATGTTTTTTTTTCACAGCAGAATTTTTCATATTTGATATTTCTTTTTTGATGCAACACATGATGTTTATTTCACTATTTTACTGTAAATGCAGTCGATGGGAAGCAGCATCAGCATAACCGACCACATCAATTTGTCCATTTCTATATTGGTTCTTTAATTGACTAAGGCGAGAGTCTATGTGGCGGTATTTCCTCTTCTTTGATCTTGGTTTACCTCCTGTTGAAAGTTTGATCATCTATGCTTCATCGGTAGTCTGAATTTTCTCCAGATGATGAACAGCCGCTAAAATGTTCGGATGCGCATGCTGACAGAACTTGTTGACCTTGCCGTGCCATCCCTCAACATGATTTGTTGTCCGTGGGCCATCGTTGTCATAGTGGTTCCACAAAGTTAGTGGCCGGGCACGGTCTCTGTACACATCTCCAATAAACTGTATCATTACGTCTGGTCTTGACAGAAAAATTGTAGCCTGCATGAAGGAGATAGTATCCACCCCTTCCATTTTGACGGGCTTAAATGATGACTGCAATTTATTTGCAGGTTTTAATATTCATGCAAATATGAATATATTCATTTTAAAGTGGAAAATGTATATTAAATACAGCTTTTATGTAAAATGATGACCTCAATCAATCAATCTGTAATGGAATTTATCCACAGGTAACTTTAATTGATCACTCGGTATACCTGAGTGAGCACCCATGTGCACATGGGTGCTCACTCACGTTTGGCTCATTCCCCGAACACCAACTCTGGATAAGTTGAATGGGAGGTGTTTTTATAGGAAATCCTTTGAAGTTTGGTTATAGTCTGTTTCCTTAATGTGCCAGTAGAAGAACTTTTTTACCTGTAATTTCTTCTGACTTTAGTATCATGCACACTTAAGTCAATGTTTAAATTTGTAAATATTTAAACATAAAATTTAGACATAATAGATTTCATTAACATATAACATTTTTATATAGAGACGCCTGTTAATATTGCACTAAGCAATAGAAATCTGTAACTAGTTTATAAATAAATAAATTTCTTAATTTCAAGCCAAAATTGATACATTAATAATAATACACATTTAAATATCACAATCAAAGATACGTATTAAACATAAATATTAACTAGCTTAAACAACTAAATATTCTTGTACATTCACTAAAGTCACAATGATTCTTTAATTATGTCGCGAAGTGTCACTCTAGCCCAAAAGGTCCTATCCAAGATGAAGAAGCTGGGATGCAAAATCGGCGTAAGTCATCAGGTCAATGTTTCCAGTCTCGTAGCGAAGCTTCAGTGTGGTTAGGCGTCTGTCAATGGTGGCGTATTTCTTCTTTCTTGGCTGTAGCATGCCTCCTGCATCTCTCTGGATCCTGTGAATGTCGTTTGCGTTCTGAATGTCCTTGAAAGTCTGTATGATGGTGTAGATGTTCGGATGGGCATGCATCACTTTTCTTTTCAGCTTCCCGTGCCAAGCTTCCCGGTGATTGGTCGTGCGGGGTCCCTCTGTTGTAAAATGGTTCCATGTTGGTCGGTCTCCTTCCACCAACTGCTCAGTTACGTAGTCTGTGAAGGGTCAAATGGGATGAGGGATGTCGGCATCATCAGCATCTTCTTGAGTTTGGAGCCAAACGTCTTCTACGCGATCCAATGGGATGAGGGAAAGAACAGCAGCCCTGCGGACGAGTAGTTTAACATCATCGTTGTCACGGTACAGAGTCTGGAGTCCAGTTGACTGGGCCTTTCGCCAAATACACTGAGTGTAATGGAAGAAGCAGTCTTTGATGATGATACCAGGAAAGATGTTGCGGATGGCGTTGTGTGCTGCTATCTCAAAATCGACGAAGGCTGTAGTAGGTCGGAATGGAATCTGAAAGTTGGTCATGTTCTCCTGAAGTAGCGTGAAGAAACGGTTGTAGACAGCTTGGCTCTTTCCAGGAAGTAGTGCATATACAACTGGAGTCATGACGCCGTCAATCTGTATGTGGATGCTGTAAATCTGGTGAAACAGGCTTGGACAAGTGAAGAAGGTGTCGTCACTGAAGAAAACGTCGGATGCTGCAAGCTCGGCAAGATTCTCCTGTGTAGCAAAAGCTATAATTCTGTCATTCTGTACACCGTCGTCGAAGAGGAGAAAGTGTTCGCCTATAGATGTTTCTGTCCATCTTCCTTCCAAGTTGATGTCGAGCATGGTCTTCGGTAGTGGTGGAGTCTGTTTGCGGCGAGCACGGTAAAGTGATGATTTGGCGGTGTAAAATGTTGGCAGTCGCTGCACCACGGCCTTCGAAGCATCATCCCAGTCCTTGTCTTGGAGTTGGTTCAGTTCCTCCTCAAAGATGGAAGGTATCGGTCTGATGGATTCTGCGCAGTGGTTGGTTATCTGGTTCATGAATCCATCATAGGAAAGGTTCTGTCCGCCTAATCTGTTGGTGATGAACTTGACGTTTATCTGAGCATTGGCCATCTCGTAGTTGACTTATCAAATCACACAGTAGCAATAACTTAAGAAAATTAATACAACTCTAGAAGAAACCACAAATTTAACTAACCTAACTACAATAATTAAAGTAAATGTACACAAAATCTGAAAGAAATTACAAGTTTAGCTAATTATAGAAGAAATTACAAGTTTAACTTAACAACTAACTTAACAACAATAATTAAATAAAATGTACACAGATGTTTAAAGTTTTTTACACTACAAGTGACAAAAAGTATTCAAAAAATCTGAAATCAAGTAAAAATGTGCTTATCCCGAAATACAAAATTCACAATCACCATGTAAAGTAGTTAATGTCTCAAATGTTCAGCTGTTTTATAGGCATAAACCATTTCACAGCTTGGATTTGGAACTCTAATAATGAAATAAGTGTGATAATTGAATTTATAAATCATTAACATTTAGTGATTATCAGATCAGTTAATTATTAATATCACAGATTAAAAGTCACTGATTATGTGACTACTTTTCAGAAGTAGAAATAGATTTACCTGTGCAATTTACCTGTGTGACATTTCAGTAATGGACTATAACTCACTATCAACATAACTGACCACATGTTGTTGTAAGCAAAGTTGGTGTTCGGGGAAGACCCCTCACGTTTGACCCCTCTACCCTTAATCCTCTTATGTAATTGACTGGTTGGCCAGGTGTAATTAACAACTTCACAGCTAACGTAACACCTATCATCATATTTTCACTATCACCTTAAATATACGCATATATGCATTGTTAATATAACTTCTCTTAAGGGGGATCAAAATACTATAGGGGGTGGGGGGTGGGGGTGGGGGGGGGGTCATTTTCTGATGGCCAGAAAAATTAAAAATTATCCGGATCCTTTTGTGATGGGAGATCCAAATATGATATGACACCGGTAAGCATAACATAGAGACAGCAGATACAACATTACCTATATACTTGCGAGTACATGTCACCTTACTAATGGAAATTTCCTTTTAATCAGTCATGGCAAGTTGCTTTTCATTACTACTTCCTATAACTCATGTATACAAGTGACAGTGGCAAAAAAACAAAGAGCCAGATTTTGATCAAATGTTTACTTTTCTGCCACATTTATCATCACGATAAGCAAGTGAAGAAATACTCTTTTTATATAGAGTATCAACGATTACTACAACCCACATGTACTGTAACAAGTTTAAGGATATTTGTTTTGCTGTCAACAAAGTTGTCACGTCTGTCACACCACTTAAATCACGACCAGGTGTAGGGCATCGAAACTCGGTTGGGGCTCCAATCAACGAATTATTACACATGTATGCACTTTAACAACATTTCAATTAATATGGTTTATCCAATACCAACTGGTCTACTTACCAACACGTGTAAACCAATATTATAACAAACTTCCAAGATATCCCTAGGCCAACTTATACGGTAGTGCTAAGCATAACTCATGTCTAAAATGGACGATGACAGGAAACACGCATGGCGCATGCTCCAACCGATCTCTGAACAATTTTGTTCCTTTTCATATCAAATAAACAACGAAAATAAAATCCATTCAAAACGCGATAAAAGTTCCACACGAAAGACTATTATTACACGTATATGTCAATCAAGTGTGTGGCATTGACAAAATTTCTTCCGATTCAAATATGGCGGCATGCGAAAATAGTCTGATGAACCGGACTGGTCGATTGCATTGCAGTTTGCTTTAGGCCGAAGTAAGCTAGTTTTCATGGTAATTTTGCACTGGTAATTGTCTATTATATTTTAATATAAATTGCATCACAAACAGAAAGTCAATTTCCATTGCAGTTGATTTTGTTTTAGCATACCAGTCCTGACCCACCTGTTTCTTCTCTCTTCTAGTTTGCACGCATCACTGGCCTACATCCGACGGGTGACACTTTCCCGCGGACATCGTGACCAATCAAAGTCAGCACGCGAGTTCTGGTACCAGCCTTTTTTACTTGCAGGGGGAACCTGTCTCTACCATTTATGGAAAACTAGTGGATGCTCAGTGTTCATGGCATGTTAAAACCATTAATATAGCAGGGATGCATGTATGTGTATTTTTATCTGTTAATAAAACATAGAAAAAGTGAGCCAGAACTTCGCTGCAGCGCAAACTGATGGAGGTTATCCTACGATTACGTAATCAGGACATATTGATTGTCACTATTATCATTATTGTGACAAGTTTTAGATAACGCTCTTTGTTTTAGAATTCAAAATAAAATGAGATATTAAAATGAGCAATAGCAAATTAAGTGCGTTCAACATGAGCGTTGAAAATAAGATATTTAAAAAATAAATCAGCGATGATTTCAGTTTTCAATTCACAGTTACCATTATGATCGTGAAGAACAGCAAATACGTACTTTACAAAAAAGGCATCAGATTTTATTTGCTTGATAGGTTTAGTGGGGAAAAATACTGAATATATTTAGAACAAGGATTGGTGATAACTATACTGTTAGAGTAGAAGCCCTTGAGCTCTGTATTGCTTCGTGATGTTTGAACCGCCACATTTACTTTCTCCTTTAAAGGAAGTGTTTGAGAACGGCCGAGTCACCCGATCCAAGCTGACCTGATTCCCATCGAAGTCGTTAAACCCATTATTAAAACATTATTAACCCCAACCTTAGATACTGCTGACAGAATTAATTACTTTGACCAAGGCATGACCACCATCACGTCGCTGAACCAGATTGGCCAGGATATGACCACAATCACGGTGTCGAGAACTCTTTGATGTGTTTCTTTCACATCACGGGTCGTGTATGTTATGGTGGAACTCGCGAGGGTTACAATGATCTATTTTGCTTGTATGATACCAAATCCATGTGTATAACCAAGAACATTACCACATATTACATATATCTAGGTCCGTACCAAAACATACATTTATGCTCAGGATTAACCTGTACATTTAAAAGAATAATCATACGTTAAACGAAAACAGACAAAGCAGCTTTGTATAATATATATCTGACATAAGAATACAGTGCTTATACATATGTAAATAAATATATACATGTACATACATATGTTTATATACAGACTCCTTTTTTAATCAAGCGATTCATACTTGTGTGAAACTTTGTTCTGAGTAAGTCTCAAGTCCAAATGTGATCACAAACTGAACATATAAAACCACAGACATAAATAATAAAATCTATATCCGTGGTGAAACTAATGTAACAATAGAAATTAAGATATATACATTTATAGTAAAAAAAAATAACATCCCATTTAGAACGTATGTGTATTTCTGATGTTCTGTATATATGTCTCTGATTATGTTTATCCCAGTTAGCAGTTTGGTTTCCCAACCTGTTTTATCACAGCCATGAAGAAAACATATACTTCAACTATTGGGTAGTGACCACCGCCGTTGATGCGTCGGTGATATGGCCACCGTGGTCCATTCTTATCACCAAAGCCACTGGCCACGCTGGTTGAATTTATATCCATTATGCTTAGCTGTCTGTCTACGTCCGTCAATTACAATGACAACAATGACAAGTATTTTATTCTCGTAAACAAAGAAATGTAGAGAATTTAAATACAAGTACAAGTAGAATATATGCAATACCACAATTACATCACATTAGTACAAATGCAGTTTTCCGAGTTTAGCCGAACATTAATCATCTTAATGAATTTTCCGTGATATCAATTCCTCGTTAGCAGCATAATTAAACACAGTGTTAAATTTAACTGTACTGGGTCTTCCGACATAATATCTGGATATTAAATTTTTTTTTTTTTTTTTTGGGGGGGGGGGGGGGGGGGGGGGGGGGGGGGTTTGTTTTTTTTTTTTTTGTACAAATTGGCCTCCAGCCCACAGTACCATTCAATATTACAATATTTGACACCATATCATAGCATATATTTCATATATACAGAGTAGGATAAACATGTGTTTCCCAAGATGGCATAATTTCCATCGGTAACAAGCTATGTATATATAGTGACATAAGTAAATCGATCATGAACAAGTATATAAGCTATGGTAGTAATCAAGTTATTTCAGTCGATGACAACTAAACTGGTCAATAGTGCAACTAGTTAAGTCATAGTGGTCATATAGTCCACAGTTTAATAGATTTATGATCATGATTGTCACCTACTACACAGTATATAGGTACCAGGTAGGTAAATCCATTTCTCTGTTATTAAAGTCAGTACAACAGTATCTCTTCTGTATATTATACACAAGCTGATTACTAGTTTAACCGTTGATACATAGTACCTACATAAATTTCTATACCTTCTAACACAAGTCAAGTAGATAATTTATACTGTAAACAGTTCAACTTTCCTCCTGATTGATCCAACATTTTCACTTTCTAGTAATAATCGTACAATTGAAATAGTACCAGTTTGTAATAACTTTTAAGTAAACTGCAGTATTTCTGACCTTACATCATTTGCTTTTTTAATAAAAATTGCAACATTCCTCATTAAGCCAATATCCTCTGACATGAGAAGTTTGACTAAATTGTCAAGGGTTGGGTTATTAATACACCATCGTGGGAGAAAGTTCACTCTGATGTCTCTTAGAACTGGACATTTTAACATAAAATGAAGTTCATCCTCAATCTCGTTTAGGTTACATATTTTACATATTCTTTCTTCTCGTGGAATGGAAAGCTTTCTGCCAATTTCTATTTCTAGTCTATGCGTAGAACAGCGAATACTTAGTAGAGCAAACTTTAGAGTAAACGATACTTGTTCAGAAAAGGTTCTGCGATAGGGTACTGTTTTATTCTCGAGTAAAGTTCACATTTCGGTGAATTACTAATGTATTCCGTCCATTTCTGCATGTTAATGTCACGCACTCGTTGTTTGAACAAATTCATGAACATGGTTATATCACCAACACCCTGATTTATCCATACCACTCCAAAACCGTTGTGAAATAATAGTTCCCTTACATGTGTGCACCAATTGGATTTTCCATTTTGGTCAAGATTATATAGCATGGTAAAACACTGTTTTGGTAAACGATTATCGTCCATACGGAACAGACGCAGCAAGTATTTGATTGGTTTGCACATGTAGTTCACGCACAATTCTTGGCGTCCACACTCACCAAGTGCTATATTATTATTTGTATTTTTGCCAGTACACAATAGCCACTTGCAAAATTTCTGATGAACAGTTTCAATGTCTTTTTGGTAATGTGTACCCCATAACTCGGCACTGTAGAAGAGTATGGGGGCGATCATTGCATCAAACAGTTTAAAGGCCACAACTGGGTCCCTTCTACCCAGTTTTACGAGACAACTCTTAACCATGTTGAGTGCTTTGGATGCTTGTTGGGCAAGCGTTTTACATGCCTTCCCCCATTTAAGCCGACATGAGAATATTAGGCCAAGGTATTTATAACAGTTCACAGTTGACACAGTATTTCCGTCGTAGGACCATTTTTCACGTGATGAGAGATGCCCGCCATTTTTAAATACAACAACCTTTGTTTTGTCTAGATTTACTTTCATGTTCCATTTTTTACAGTACTTCGATAGTATATTTAACTTTCTCTGGAGACCAGCTACTGAATCACTAAGAAGTACAAGATCATCCGCGAATAACAGATGAGTAATGTTCCTGAATACATCCGAGATGTATATGCCCGTCTGGTACATGTAATCACTTCCATCATTTAGCATCGTAAATAATTCGTTAATGTACATAGCAAAAAGAAACGGGCTGAGGATACACCCTTGCCTCACACCAGATTTGCAGTGAAACAAATCGGATAGACCATCACCAGCTTTCACTTCCGCTTTAACATTCGCGTATATGTCCTGTAGTACTTTAATAATGCGGCCATGAAGGTTTTGCTTTACCAAAAGTTTTTCATGATTTACACAGTCAAACGCTTTAGCGAAGTCTACAAAACCACAACAGAAAACATTTCCTTTTTTGGATAAATACTTCTGTACGAGTCCTTGGAGATTGAATATCTGGTCCACGGTCGAGTATCCTTTACGGAAGCCAGCCTGTTCCTCAGGGAGTTCATTGTTGGAATCAGCCCATTTAGTCAACCGAGTACATAATATTTTCGTAAATATCTTGCTCATCACTGATAGCAAGGAAATCCCTCTGTAATTCCCAGCGTTATTTATATCCCCCTTTTTATGGAGCTGGACAATAATACCGGTGTGCCAGTTTTTCGGAAACTGGCCAGTCTGTAGTATTAGGTTGAACAGTTTTTGTAGAACCCGCGACATACCTAGATGTAATGTTCTTTTGAAAAATTCTCCAGGAATGGCGTCTTCCCCTGGCGATTTGTTGTTTTTGAGGCTATGGATTGCCTCCTTCACGTCTGTTTCAGTTATGTCATCATTCAATAAAGAATTCACATGAGGTAGTTCACATTTATCACACTGGTGGTGATGGTCTTGCACAAAGTTTGACACTTCCACATTAAACTCAGTAAT